GGGAAAAGTATATTGAGGAACCGGAAGTTAGTATTAAATGCTGATGAGATGCCAAGTAAAAGAGGACAGAGAATCCACCAAGGAATCCAGCAAGTTCATTCAGAACTTACTTTGGAAAGTTTGAACACAGTTTACTGACGTGCAAGAGTAGAACCCAGATTGGAGCTGGTTGGGGAGATCAGAGAAGGCCCAAAACAAAAAAAGCAGCAAAATTTGAAGGTAAACGCCCCTCCTGAGAAATATGATTGCTTATACCAATTCAAGACTTTAATTGGATTGGAAAGGGGAGGAAAATACAGATGAAATCAATAATGAGATTAATTTAAGTAACACCTATTCAGAAAGAGAGGCTCCTCATGAGATAAATGAGCAAAATTTTTTCATGATGCTTTATTAAATACATAATAGACTATTCACAGAGAATTTTCTGCCTAATTATAATTGATTTTTAGAAATCAATCAGTCCTTCAAGTAATCGACTAAGGATAACGCCAAATTCTGTGAGTGGGTAGACCTACCTTCACAGCCTCAGCCTCATCTCCTCCTCCTAAAGCAGTGGTTCTCAGCCTTCCTCATGCCGTGACCCTTGCATACAGGTCCTCATGTGGTGGTGACCCCCAACCGTCACATTATTTCTGTTGCTACTTCATCACTGTCATTTTGCTACTCTTATGAATCGGGTGACCCCTGTGAAAGGGTCGTTCGACACCCAAAGGTGTCATGACCCACAGGTTGAGAACCGCTGTCCTAAAGGATTCCTTTTCTTCCTGTGGAGCCCTGGTGGGGGGGCGGTTACACATTGGCCTGCTTACCGCAAGGTCAGCAGTGTAAACCCACCGGCCGCTCTGATGGAGAGAGATGAGGCTTTTACTCCAGTAGACATGCAACAGTCTCAGAAACCCACAGGGCGATTCCCCGTCCCACAGGGTCATGCTGAGTCAGCAGCAACTCGAAGGTACGGAGTGAGGGGAATCTCTTCCTCCCCCCAGTGCAGGGATCATTCCATTCCTCATGGTCACGTTTTTCCAGGTCTTACCAGTTTCCAGTTAACAGAAACAACTGTTCATCTCCCCCTTCCACCGTCACTCTTCGCCTTACAGGCCCTGTTGGTCACTTTAGCGAGAAAAATCTCCCCGGGGTCTCTTGTTTCTAGTCACATCCAGTTTAAACGTCTTCGGCCTGCCTGTCAAAGATACACCACATCACAGGGTATTGTATCCTGTCAAATGCCAAGTCCACCTTCAACCTGCTCTCCAGCTAGTTCCTGGCATTCCCTAGCAAAAGCTTTCTGCTCGAATGAGTCCTCCCCTCCCACGTTAGCTCACGTGTGCCCACGGCTTGCACGTCATTATCTCTGGTAGCGTTCATGGGTGTCGGCCTACGTCCTCCTGCACTGTGCTCTCACCCTTGTCCGGAGGGCAGGGCTGTGCCTAGTGAGCCCCTGAGTGATCTCACTTCCTGGTGTGGTGGTCTTTTTCAAGGTGACATATGCAAATTAAGGAACCGGCTTCTTAACAACCTGGCAGAATTCATTGTTGTTCCATCTAAGTTCTTACCTTCATGTCTTCTCTTTGGCTCCTCATAAGCTGAAAACATTGTATAACTTCTGTATTTCGCTCAGAAGTCAACCAAAATGCTTTGCCTTTCTAATAAACATGTGTGAACGTCTTAAATTAACTTTTAACAAAATCCATCACTCTGGAGTTGTTATGCTCATATGGGAAGTTCTAAAAGAAAAGAAAAAATATCCCGACCAGTGCAAGGATCCTAATCCTCATACTGACCATGGAATTTCGGAACGGCCGCAGAGGAGCTGCCTGCCCCCCTGCCCTGGAGGCTCTTGCAGGAGTGAGACTCTGCTGGGGGTGGGGGGGTGGGGTGTCCAAGAAGAGCCTGGGAAAGGGGTCTTCCAGCTCCACTGAACACCATGGACGAATCTATGAAGGTAGAGTACTTGGGGCAATTGGGTATAACCCATTCATGTGAAGAATGGACAGAGTGTAGAGAAAGAAAGGGGTGGGGGGAAAGGAGAAGAGAGGACAGGAGAGGGGAGGGACGGAAGGGAGAAGGGAGGAGAAAGAGAGAAGGGGTGGGGAGAAGACAAGAGAATGAATGTGTATGTGCATCTGAGTGTATATGGGCCCACATGCACAGGCGCATGCGTGAGTGTGTGCGTATGTGTGTGTGTGTTTGCAGGAGAACCCAAAGAGACACGTGTGGGCGGAACACCTGTGTGCCTTGCTGTGGCATTCCTATACCATTCTTCAGTGTCCACGTGATCACCTCTGCCCCCGCAGTATGAACTTTATTATCTTACCTTCTGCACCATGTTATTATTCATTTACAGTACTTTCCTATTCTTTTGTCTTGTTTTGTTTCCTGGGGATCAGGACTCTTGTCTGGCACAAAGTAGGTATTGAATGAAAAGGCCACTCCAGATACAAAGTTAGCCATGGGATTCAAATGGATCCATTATTGGCTCAAACTATATCACAATTCTACCTCCCCTCTGCCCAGTTCTCTTCCTCACTCCTTCAGAGTTGTAAATCTCAGGGCATTACTAATAAATCACCTGTATGCAAATGTAAAAAAAAAAAGAAAGTTTGACGAATAAATTAAATGAGTTTGTCATAAAAGGTTTGTACACAGAGGCCACAGAAACATCTCCCTCGATTCTCTAGTAAGAGCTGGTCTTGCCCATTTGTCATCTGGGGTCATCACTGTCCATCCCCCTGCACACAAAGCAAACTCATGACTGCATTACCCTACTGCCTAGTCCGCACCCTAAGGGAGTCCAAAAGCAATCAATGGAAAACATGGGTTTGGTGTTAAGGTGTGTACTAGGCACCACCTAGTGGTGGTTTCCAGACTTAGCCATATAGGACATTGTCTATTTGGTAACCAAACTTTCAATCGAGAGCAACTGGTGGCATACTGAGTTTGGGGTTGGGCACCTAACCTCAAGGTCAGCAGTTTGAAACTACCAGCTGCTTCGAGGGAGACAGAGGAGGCTTTCTACTCCCATAAAGAGTTGCGGTCTCCAAAACCCACAAGAGCAGTTCTACCCTATCTTGTAGGGTTGCTATGAATTGGAATCAACATGATGGCTGTGAGCATAATACTGTAGAAATTGCTGAAGCACTCTATTAAACATTGTATTTCCAGTGACCCTTTGCCACTAGCTGTCAAATTAATAGTTGGTGATTTTCTATCTTCTGGGTCTTACAAAAATGCTAGCTTGAGGGTCTGATAGAAAATATTTTATTTATAATAAAATGGCATTCCAGAGAATGATCTCTGAATGGCCGTCCACGTGACCCAGTGAGCAAGAGCATGACTGGACAGCCCGGGATCTTGCGTCACAATCTCGTGCGTGACTGACTGTCTCAGGCAGTCCCAGCGCTCCAGGAACACGAGGTAATTTTTTCTCTTAGCATCCATCTGTTCCTTCCTCTATTTTATTTTTCTGTTTGGACAGTCTATTTTAAGAGTAGACAACCTTGGACTGGACATTTTATCCTTGAAGATTGAGCACACCCTGAAAATGTTCATGTCAAGGTGGAAATCTTAGCTTGCTAACTCTTTCTGTGGGTCTTTGGAATGAGTGATGACTTTTGGTTGTGGAGTTGTGTTGTGGAGTTGGTGGACAGCTGAGGCAAGGATTAGAATTGTGATCACAATTCATTTCTCACGTGCAGGTATCGCTCTGACTTAAATAGTAGTGTGAATACAAATAGAAGCATTTATTAAAAATCTCTTTCATGCATAATATAGCTGTGGAAGCATAAGATTAATTATGTTTTTAAGCACTTACCCAATGACAGGAATACAGAGGAGTATAATTACCATCATTTTATAGATGAAGAAGCTGAAGTACATGGAAGTGAAGTGGCTTTCACAAGGTCTCATTGCTGTTGTTTCCAGGGTGCGCATTAAGACTCAGACATCAAGGAATCTAGCGTCAATGTAAGCTTGCTCTCTAACAACATGGAAAACACTAGAAATTCACAGTAGACACATGCAGAGAAAACTTTAGCTTGGTTAATAACTCTTGTTTAATAAAACACTAACTACTTGATGAAAAGTCTTGGTTTTAATTTATTGTTGGCATTATCAGCACATGCTTATTTCCACCACTAATTATCATTTAAACACACACACACACACACCTTCGTTCCAGATAAAAGTTTGTTTAAGGTTCTTAAATTTTGGTTCCCCCAAACTGCTAAACCCTTCCCTCAGTCCCAGTGTCCGGCAGCAAGTGTGTTTATGGAGACGTGACAACTGTCCGTGACCTGCCACTGTCTTCAGCTTGGCACTCGCCCTCTTGGCTCTTAAAGATGTGATATGCAAGGGATGGATGCATGCATTGTGATAAGAGTTGTACGAGCCCCCAAGAAAATGATTTTTTTTTAAGTGGCAAAAAAAAGATGTGATATGTCCATTGATGTCTCTCAGAGGTAGAGTGTGTTACTAGTGACCACTGATTTAGAAAAGCCCATTTGAGTACTGCTACACACATACTTATATGTGTGGGCTACTGTCTAAAGAGTAGACGTGCATGGGTTTTTTAAGTTGGATATTTAAATTTTTCCTTATAAATGTATAAACATAGTTCTGAGGAAATACCATTATACCATACATTCTGGGGATGGATTTTTTGTGTGTGTGTTTTAAAAATTGCTGTGAAAAAAATTATTGTTATGATCTTCTATCCTCATTTTCTTCTATCCACACTGCTCCACCGTATGTATTAAAGGGCATATAAAACATAGCATGTAGCCTTCCTTATATTTCTATACTTAACCTGATTACATGAATCATCTCCATAAACAGTTACACACACACACACAGAGGACATGTTATCAGCAGACATCCCAGGCCCTGGCAAAGGACATCATGCTTGGTAAAGTAGAAGGGCAGTAAAAGAGGAAGACCCTGGGCGAGCTGGGCGGAGTCAGCCGCTGTAACAAGGGCTCAAACATAAGGAGACGGAGAGGATGGCGCCCGACCAGGGGGTGCTCGTTCTGTTGTGCACCAGTTGCTATGACGTGGACCAACTTGGCGGCACCTAACAGCAACACCTACATACGTGGTGGTGGGTTAACATTTTATTTTTAAATAGGAAAAAATGGAATCTTCATCTCTGTACTTTACAAAATACCTATTCCTTTCCAGCAACTGTCTCTTCTCGAAGACGTCACCCACAGATAGGAAAACACTGGGTTTTCAGGTGGTGTGTCAGGATTTTTTTTTTTACATGTCGGTGAGAGTTACAGGAGGGAAGGGAATGTTGAACAAATGGTGCTATAACAGTGTCACGGAATCATGTGCTGTCATTAAAAAAAAATTGGATTCTTATCAGAAGGATCTTTTCTCGCCGTATCTTGATTGTTACCCTTTTTTGCTGTTTTTATTCGCTTAATTCACACTGAGTGTACTTTCAAAGAGGAGTGGAAGTGAATGTGTGTGGACAAGCCTCCTGTTTAGTGTTGAAAATCTGCCTGATAACTTTCAAGAGCCTCTCACTCCCTTTCCTTTCCTGCTGGACGTCTTACTTTGCCTGGCACCGTTTTAAATTTCCCCCCTGCTTACCTTTCTCTATTTTGGAAACAGGAAATCCCCAGGTTCCAACTAGTCAAATCCTTCCTTCCTTGGCTTTTAACTCCTACTAGACTTTTTTTAACCAGAAGTGTCACAGGGACACAGCCATGAACATTAACTTCAAAAATAAGCTGAGATCCAGTGAACTGGTGTGTCCAACCTGGAGAAGCTGGGCATGCTCGGAAAGAAAGAAATCTCATTTCCGAATAACCACAGCTAGTTCTGTTTTTGTTCCCCTTCTGCACAGATTTGAGAAAGGACGCATCTACACATTCATTGGCGAAGTTGTCGTTTCTGTGAATCCCTACAAGCCGCTGAACATCTATGGCAGAGACACGATTGAGCAGTATAAGGGGCGGGAGCTCTATGAGAGACCGCCGCACCTCTTTGCTATCGCCGATGCGGCTTACAAGGCCATGAAAAGACGATCAAAAGATACCTGCATCATGATATCAGGTATTCAAGGGGGCCCCGGTTTTTCAAGGTCAGACCATATTTAACTGATTTGGTACTCAAGGATCCAAATTACTGACCTCCCCCCCAAAGGTAGAAATAAACTATTTCATAGAAGAAAAAATCTATAAAGAACATTAAATACCAAATGCTTTTGATCGTTTCTGGTCATCTCCTGGTTTGGGTTCAAGTACAAACACATTGCACTTGGGTGGTGCCCTTCTGCTCCGTGTTGTAGACTGAGTTGACAGAGGAAATGCTTCCTCCCTGTCCAAACTCAGAAGAACTGGGAAAAATGGAAGAAAATTTATTTTAAATCATAATAGGGCGGAACCCAGAAAGTCAGACGAGTGAAGGGGAGCTGGAATTGTGGCGTACACAGAAGCATTGGTGCCAGAACCAGGCTGTTGGGCCGGAGTGGGAACTGTAGAACCCAGGGAGGAGGGAGACCGCCCACAGAGCCCATGTGGCTGAGAACGAGCTTGAGCTTCGTAGAGTTGAGGTCTTCAAAGAATCTCATGTAATGAATGACAATGGGACAGGGAAAGAAAATCTCATGGTGCTAATGTTACTTCCCTTTCGCATTAGTGGTTTTTCACATTTGAAAATGTTTTTGTGATTGTCACCCCATTTTGACTATCAGTACAACTTACTGAGTAGGAGGTAAAATGGTTGCTTTTCTGCTTTATAGATGAGAAAATTTAGGGTCCAAGATGTTAAATAACTTGGAATTAGGGTTCCAGAATTGTATCCTAGGATTACTTTTGTTTTTTTTTAAGAAGCACATCAAGTAATTTATTCCTATTATTTAAAACATTTAATTACACTTTCAATAGGCAACTGTTAAAAACAAAAGGCAGCTATTTTTTTTAGTACTTCTCAGACTTCTAGCATTGTACATGATCCAAGCAATTCCTCTGAAGGCCAAGGGCATCCTTCGCTCATTTGTCCAAATGTCTAAGATCACAGCCATTTCTAGCACCTATTGCAGTTAAGTTGTAAAGACCAAAGCACTAAATGATACATTTCTCCATTGACTGATTTTGCACCAGTGTAAGGTCTTTCCCGTTTACAAAAATACTTCTGCCTTATATGAAAAGCTCCCTGTCGTGTGGTCGACGATCAGTAAACTTAAAGTACACAAAATGAGTTTCCCCATTTTCTTGGCAAAGAACCTCGGTCTGAAGGCCGGAGCCAGCGCTCCAGCAATCACCTGGCGAACATGGCTAAGGCGCCTCACGGCGGTCCAGCGCCCCTCTCCAGGAGTGCCATTTGAGAAGAATATACTAGTGCGCTGTTTGTTTTTCTCTTTCTTCGGCCTACCTAGAGAACTCACGCATCCTTTTTAACAACTGGGCCATATTCTCTTGGAGAGTTGAATCACAGTGTGTTTTCTCCATTCCATAGGGATAGACATATCCTTTCCAGATTTTAATTATAACATATAGCCCAACTGCTCTTCACCTATCCGATTATGCAGACAGTGAGGAGGGGAGCCATACCTTCATCCTCCATCCTCATCGCTCGCTTGCTCGCACTCTGCTTCTCAGCTGGGTTTGATCATTCATTACAATAGCATGCTGAACTCACAGACAATACTGACAATTAAGGGGGCTTACTAGGGAAGTTCATAAGTTGTCACAAGTCAGGATCAGTAAACAGTAAGGACACAGTCACTGGTCCTCAGCCAGCCGCCAGGTCTCTCTCTGGTCCTCAGCCTCTCAGCCATGAGGCTCCTGGGCCTCTACTTCATGTCCCTTAGTCTCGGTGCTGCTTCTCTGTTCTGTCTCATGGTGTCCTTGCCTCGGCCTCCGGTCTTGGCCTGATTCTTGCTGTGCCCTTAGGCTTCATGCCGCAGTCTCTGTGCCTCTGGTCTCGCCCTCGCCCACTTCACACAGAGATCTTAAATGTGGTCCTGGACTTTCTCTTTGTGTGTCCAAGGTAGCTGTTATTCACAGAGTAAGGCTATATGAATTTAACTGTGCCCACTGTTTGAATCACTACCTTGCTAGTGATTCTGCAAAACTTGGGAGTCATTACCAACCACAGGAATCAGTTTATCACATTTCAGGTCTTAATAATTTTTTGCTAACTAATCTGGATTTGTGGCCTCCAGCCTTTCACTTCACCAGGAGTTTTCTGGTTTTCAAATCTGTTAGAGCCACCCATACCAAGACAGGTTCAAATGACCCCCAAAAGTACAGTTTAAAATAATAAAGCAAAAGAGATTTCAAATAAGTGGCATCAAAATCTTAAATGATTCTCTTAAAGCTAGCTTCCCCGTGGTTCAAATAACAATGCTAAGTGTTGCACACTCTCTCCCAGGGGAGAGTGGCGCTGGGAAAACTGAAGCCAGCAAGTACATTATGCAGTACATCGCCGCCATCACCAACCCCAGCCAGCGCGCGGAGGTTGAAAGGTAAGAGCACGCTAATAACGGGGGGATTCTGAGTGGAGTAGACATGGCCAGGCCTAAACTCTCGTGGCTATCAAGCATTTGTTGCTGGTAAGACGCTTTGATTCTCTTGTTACAACTGATGTTGTATTGCACTGGGCAAATCTGCTGCAGAAGCCTCTTTAAACAGAGAGTAAAAGTGGCCCTCAGAGAACTAAGGTGAACCTCACTTGAGGCAAGGTCTTTTCAATGGTCTCATATCTATGAAATCTGGACTACAAATAAGAAAAACTGGAGAAGATTTGATGCATTAGAATGCTGGTGTTGGTGAAGACTATTTGAAATACCACGGACTGCCAGAAACACAAACAAATCTTTCCTGGAGGAAGTTCTGTCGGAATGCACCTTAGAAACTAGGATGGTAAGACTGTTGTCTTATATACTCTTGACATGTTATCCAGAAGGGCGGTCCCGAGAGGATGACACCATGCTGGGGAAAGAAGAAGGTCGTGGAAAAAGAGGAAGACCTTTTGGGGTGGATTGAGGCCGTGGTTTCAATGATGGGCTCAAACATAGCAGTAATTGTGAGGAAGACGGGACCAGGCAGTGTTCTGTTCGGTTGGGCATAGGGTCACCTTGAACCAGAACCAACTCGAGCAACAGCATGCTATTCCATACTTGCATGTACATAGAAAGCTACTGTTCTGTAAACTTTACCTAATGACAAAATTTTGTTTTAATTACTCTGAAACAAGTGATAATGTCCTCTTTCTAAACTGTGGCTTTACCTGTGGTCCATAAAGATGTTGTCATTTACACTGGCAGGTTTTATTGTTCAAGCCAGCGCTTAAAAAACAATGCTGGGCTCTGTTTTCTAAGCTGGGCTCTGATGAGCCCCACATTCCCTACCTACAGTGAAGGGGGCTCTGGACGACTGACATCACGGATAGGAGAGGTTTTCAATGTAGAGAAAACCAAGATTCTCACCACCAGGCCAATAGGGTAATATCATGATCAGTGGAGAAAAGGTTGAAGTGGTCAAGGATTTTGTCTTGCTTGGATCCACAATCAATAATCATGAAAGCAGCAGTCAAGAGCTCAAAAGACATGTTGCATTAGGTAAACCTGCTGCAGAAGAACCCTTTTGAGTATTGAAAAGCAAGGGTGTTACTTCGAGGACCAAGTTGTAGCTGCCCCAAGCCATGTTGTGTTCATTTTCCTTGTGTGCATGTGGAAGTTGGAGATGCATAAGGAAGACCAAAGAAGAATCTATGCATTTGAAAAGACCATGAACTGCTAAAAGGACAAACAAATCTGTCTTGGAAGAAATATGACCAGAGGGCTCCTTAGAGGCAAGGATGGCAAAGCTTCACCTTACATGCATTGGACATATTGTCAGGAGCGGCGGTCCCTGGAGAAAGCATGGGGCAGTGAAAAAGAGGATCCGGCTCAACGAGATGGACTGATAACAGTGCTTGCAACAGTAGGCGCAGGGACAGTTGTGAGGATGGCGCAGGACCATGCAGCATTTTGTTCGGTTGTGCGTTGGGTCCTATGGGTCAGAACCAACAACCAGTGAGCTTTCCTTTTCCAAAAGGGCTTCCTGCCAGGCTATGCTGCCACCCACAGTGGGATGAGTCATAAAACTGCTCAGGAATGGCTGGGGCCCAGCATTTAACACAGGATCTGCTGAATAAATGCATAAAAAATGAATAATGAATGAATTATTTTTTTAAGGGAAGGAAGAAATCTGACTGTCCAGTAGCCTGAGTGGCTTTCTCATGTGGTATAGACTTTTGAAGAGAAAAGTTCAGAGTTTTCCAAAGTGGATACTGTAAAGATCTGTACATTTTCATCTATCAATTTGGGACTGTCTTTTGGTTTTCAAGTATGGCATTACTGAAAAGTCACCCATCACATCCAGGCCACTGCCTTCGATGTGGTGAACATAAAGTGAGGGGTCATCTGTCTCAGAGGACAGGATGAGGGTGTACACAAGCCTCCTCTACTTGGGCTTTTGTCCTTTTCCATTGTAATTAGACTGGACTGCCAGGTCAAGAGAGACCCTTTTTAAAAAACAATCATTTTTGGCAGGGGCTCTTACAGCTCTTATCACAATACAATACAATACAATACAATACAATACAATACAATACATCCATCCATTGTGTCAAGCACATTTGCACATGTTACCATCATCATTTTCTAAACATTTTCCTTCTATTGAGCCCTTGATATCAGCTCCTCATTTCCCCCCTCCCCCCTTGCCTCTCTCATTTCCAATAGCATATTATAAATTGTTCATGACCATAAAGATTCTGCCATACACAGCAGGGGGGGTTTTGTCTTTTTTTTTTTTTATT